TTCACAGCAGTAATCAAGGAATGAAGCATTCTCCACTGTAATGAATCTACTGCAGGCTTGAAAGATGAATATTTCAAATGCAAAAGCAATATGTTTGCTTTGAACACATTTAACTTTGGCTTTAATAAAGCAAGTAGTGAAGCGTGCAATGAATTATGTTGTTAGATGGTTAAAACAGAGCTGTGCAATATGTCTGAGTGCATTTAATCCAAGTAACTATTCATTTTAAATGGGACTTGTAAATACGTGTTACATGAATATATATGAACGGATGATTCAGGAACTCGCAAGAGATCAGGGCCTTCCACTCCTGGCTTGCTTCAAAACCGGCTCAACCTGACAATTAACCACAGCCCGGAGCCAGAACATCATTAAGTATGAGCTGAACCTTACACCGGCTGAAATTAAGCACATATACAGAGCTATTCAAATGAGGGCTGTTTAAATCAAGACTTAAGGGCCCTGCGGGATTAGGACCTAAAAGTTGTTTCGGCAGGTTGGTGCATTTCAACCCGCGGCCACGGACACCTTCTGAGAGGCCCACCAGACCGTAAACCCCTGCAGACAGGTCCCATCGCTGGGAAGGCTGGCACTTCCGCAGATCCGGAAGCCTTTACTGCAGACATTTCTGTAGTAAAGAGGATATTTCTAGCTGGAAGCAATGGATATACGAAGTTAAATATCATCTACTAGCACTAGGTTCACTTTGAAATACAGCAGGTAGCCCCTATAAAAAACAGCCATGTTGTCTTCTCCTTCTGGAAAACTTTTCAGTAGGGAAAAAGAAATCATTGCTAATATGTTACCTTTCTGCAGAAGAGTTGGATTTTTGCTGAAAAACAGTGAGTCTTCTGTCACAACAAAAAAAAAAAAACCCAAGAGTTTCTTGGCCCACATTGTTGTTCCAGTGCTTTCATTCCCTCTCCCTCTTGTAATATACTGAATATTTCCTATATAGTTCCCTGCTTTGAGAAAACACCATTTTTTCCACGGATTCCCCCCCCGACAATGCAGAGCGTTTACCGGGTTTAGTGAGCACAGCCCCTGAGAGCGGAGGGCTGCAGCTCCCTCCTGCCGTTGCTGCTTGGTCAGAGGTCTCCTGCACACGGCGGCACCTCCTTTTGCCCCGAGCACGCAGCTACCAAACACAAATCTGCAGGTGTTTTCAGCCGCGCCAAATCATCTGTTGCTTTGCTGCCTGTTGCGTTGCCTTCCAGGTACGACATTCTCCAGCACGCTGCTTACAGCGATGCTACGGTTAGAAAAGGGACGGGGTATCATGGGACCTTTTCACCTCAACCTACGTCTGTTAAACTTACAGCTGACACTCAAACACAAAAATCAGCTTTCCGAGCCCATTTTGGGATTTCAGGCCAGCTCATGCTATCTGCAAATCAAGCATACCTGCTACCGAGTGCCTACGGTGTTATTTCATGAGATGCCCTCCCAGTGTCTATCCACAGTGAAAAAGAGATGAGCAGGTACGACAGTTGGCATACACAAGAATTATTCATTCAGTTTTAACTAGTAATTTTCTTCTCTTGTCAGGTCAAGTAACCTGCAACAGGCATGCATATGTCGATACCCGCATGCATATGGTGGCAAAGTTTATCACATATGTTGACAAAATTAATCAACAGAGTTTACAAGGAAAGCAATGAGAAAAGCACAGATTTCGCTGGCACAAATTACTGCAAAGTTCCAAGGGCTTCAGCTATCCAAGCTCAGCACCAATGTACTTCACCCGGAAACTGCCCTTGAAACAGTGAATTCAATAAGGACAACTCTTATATAGTCAAAGTTAAATTATTTAAAATGGAGGAAAGAGGGTTCTTAATTATTTAATGTTTCACCAATAATTATGTAGTTCAATGTAATGTTCGCTCACTGCAGAACGTTTCAAAGGAACATTTGTGAACATCAGTCAAACAAAAAACACCTGCCAGACTATAAATCCAGTCAGGGTGATACAAATGCATTCATTCCAACACAGCATTAGCGCATTAGGAAAAATACAAGTCCTGACTTAGCGGTAAACCCTATCCAATAATTTCTGTGTTAAAATATTGATGTAGAAAAACATGCACAATTCTGTTTCCTGATACATTTTTAAAACACAGTATGTTCTATATTCCTGCTCTTTTTTTAAAGCTGCTTTCCAGATAACTGAGTTAGAGATGGGACTATAGCTCTGGAAAACTGCAAACCATCAACTTAATACTTGAATAGCCAAAGCTACCATACAAAACGCGAACAGAGACATCCTGCGGTTTCGTTCAGAAGTTACTCAGAACCAGTCTTAAAAGACAGTTTATAAATTAGTTGCATGAAATACTAGCAAGGGTAAGCTTATTCGCATGGAGCCCTGGGGAGCAAGGCTAAAAGGGCACTGAGCATTTCTGAACAAAAGTTTCCCGAAAGGTTTTTTGCAAGTCGTGGTTCTTGTTCAGCAGCTCCATCACACAATACATAGCACAGGGAACTAAAATGGCACCGTAGTCGCGTGCGGACACAGTAGGGATCTACAAAAGTTTATCACCATGGGTTAAGAACCCTAAGTAAAAAAAAAAAATAATGATAATTTTAAATGCCTACTTTAAGTCTGAGAGCAATAACACCCTTTCCATTCAGGTCCCCCAAAATACAGGAGCTCCATAGTTAACTATTTCCCTGTCATCTAATTTCTTTGTCTCCAAACCTGCAGAGTCTCCATGTGTTTATGTCATTCCCAAGGGCTGAGGACACACTCGTGCAACGTCTCTCATCTCTGCAGAGGATGCAAGTTTGCTTCAGCCCACAGCTACTCACTGCAAGGCTGTTCTGCTCAACGTCTGCAGGACAAGCTCTGGAAAACCCTGATGATGGCCAAAGTTGCAGTTGCCACACTAAAGCCCTTAAGTTTATTTACACAGGCCAGAATTCACTGCGTGCCCTTCCAGGATGGGGATCGAGGCCTCCACAAATCTTCCCTGACACATTTCCATCTGCGAGGAGAGCTACCCAGAAGGAAGCCTTGACAGCGTTCCAGAACACAAGGAGTTTAATGGCACATCCCAGCAAAAAAGAAAATCATTTCCTCGCAGCCAAAAACCACTTGTCAGTGGGTCACTTTGCCAAAGAATTACCTTACTCCCCATTCTCTGGGCAAGATAAGGGACTGTTTATCAGTAATGGCTTCAGATTTCCCGGCTGCTGGAGCAGAGGAGCCCACCTGCACCATCAGCCAGACTTTAGAGCCTAATGTGGCCTGCAGGGCCAGAAATGATGAAAAGTACAGATTTCTACCTCCCTGAGGGGACCACAGCACTCATTTGTGGTCTTAAAGAGTCTGAGGTCTCTTACAATCCAAGACGATGTTTTTTACAGTATTACAGAGTATTCTAGGTTATTTTTAGTGAGTTTAATGGCTCCCTCAGAATCACGCAAAGTGGGACTCGTGGTAACTGCAGCACCTGGCTTTGCAGGTGGGGAGTCCCACTGAGATTTTAGGATCCTCTACAAACAGTTTCCTTGAAATATATGCCATATACAGACTAGGAAATGGTACAACATGGGGCAGTCCTTCACATGGCCTGCGTGAAGCACAGAGAGGTGATTTAGCAATTCCAGACACACAATGGCATAACACGTGTTCCCTCTGACATTACACGCATAAACAGACATCACATGCAGCTCTTCATCATTGTATAAATCACACGGAGCGACTCTAGTTGTTTTAGTTCTAAACTTCTGTGAACTTCTGTCACGTAAGGCCAAATTCAATTTGCCCGATCCTTCCCCCAGCACATCAAGAGTAACAAGTCCAGGGAATCATCCTTGTACGCCACTGTAAATTATCACAGCTCCACCAGTTTTATCCTACCGTGAAACGCCACAGAAGTGCTCAGAATTCAACAGTGATGAATTTAACATGCCTACTTCCACTGCTCCGATGTCAGCAGCGTTACAGCAACTTATGCGATACAAGGATCCGTCCTTTTTTCCTTATCAAGGCATTTGATCAAAATCAGTGACACGGAAAAAGACAACCTTATTTAATTTGAGCAAGAGAGTCAGGCTTGTCACTCTAACATCACAAGGAAAAGGAAGGTATTTACATATAGGTACTTCCATATTCTTTTTTATCTGGGTTCACATTTTCTTCCACAGCAAAAACTAGTGTGAAACCTAACAGAAGAGCTGAATTTTCCCTTGCTCTTCCCTCCCCACTTTCTCCTCTTCTGCAAAAGCAACACCTTGAGTTATTTCAAATTCTTCATTAGCGACTTCTCCGTTTGTGACAGCCTGGTGGTTCCAAGTTGCTCCAACTCACTCTTTCAATTTGCCCTCCAGGCAGAAAGGGAAAACTCCGTTTGTGATGCTCCGTGACAAAAAGCCCTCAGTGATGAACACCGCTTTGGCGTGCCTTGCCCTGGCAGCCGTCATAAGCCGCAGCCGCTGCCCGGCGCTGCAGCTCTCGAGTGTGCCGAACCAATAAATGAGCTAAGTGAACAGTCGTGCTCTTGAGAATACATTTTTAAAAAGGGAATGGGTAAATTCACTCATTTGGAAACCTGGTCTGCTCAAGAACTTGCTACTATGCCAATTTAAGAAGAAGCTACTACAGATAAGATTGATGCAACTTATCGATTAGTTTTCTCTGAAGCTAGGTTTGAATTTTAAGTTTTCTCTAAACAGAATCACTTTATATCAGTTTGTTAATATTCCCGGGACCTGAGCAATGTGCTTCAGCACTGAAAGAAGTTCCACGATAAATGCGTTTGCCAATCTGCATCAGTAAAGTAGCTATAAAGTCGGAAGAATTCATGCAAAATTTTTCGTAGTTGCTAAATACGCTTATTCACATTTTAAATCACGCACAGACAATATGAAATAGCTTTCATTTAGACAGGTGTGAACAAGAAAACAGATGCCTCCATTAAAGTTGAGACAATTCAATGAATTAAAGATACGTCTTGGTGAATGCTTTGCTTTATGCATATAGCCATTGTTTAACTTACTTGAAAAAACACGGCCATGGCTCCTACTACCCTGTTTTCTAGAACCGCTGTTCCAAAACTGTCAAAGTCATCAGGATTGTAGAAGTAAATCTGCATCTGTAAAAATTAAAAACAACAACAAAAAATCACATCAACTGTTGATTCATACAGCTTTCAAAAGAGATACTGTATACAGGGCCACGTGTAAACCCAGCATTATGAACCTGAGATAAAGGAATTCTGCTGAACAATATTGTTTAACTAGCATCTTGATTAATAGCATGACGGCCCTACTGGGACAGTAACCAGGGAACAGAGTCGATGCAATGCATTTTAATAACAAACCAATGGATAAACAGTATAGCCAGTCTGTTTAGATGGTAAACTTTGTGCTTTCTGCCAGGATCTCTTCATTTCTTTGTTTGCTGCAGACTCATCTCCTGCTCTGTTAAATGCGGTAAACATATTTATCTAAAAAACCATAGAAACATATTTATCTAAAAAACCATAGAGAGTTTTTAAAAAGGATTTTGATGTTTAAAGTTATTCCTTTATTCCTAAAGCAATTTGTAAGATAAAAGTGCTTCTCTGTAGCAATGCATTTTCATGAGGCTCTGATACTCAGGACTATCGGTTAGGGTCAGACTTCTCTCTGACTTCAGTTAAATTTCATGACTTTTATTTCCAAGCTTTAGTACTTGCCAAAAAGCACAAGGGAAACAAAAACTGGACATTTTGATATCATTTTAGGACAAATAATAAATATTAATAGTTAAGCAAAGCCTAAGTAAAAGCGAGTGAGGACAGCGATTACCCCAAAACAGCAAAAGCCTAGGTTACATAAATCCAGGAGGACCGAGGAACACCTTCGTTCATACAGATTGACTGATGTACAGCCACCCCACTTTATTGTTCAGGGGATCTCCCCCGACGGATCTCGCAACCCAAACCTGGGCTGGCGCGTTCACGGGGACCGTGCTACTGCAGGAGAACTAGCCGACACCTACACTCACGCATTGACTTTGGCCAAAAAACTGCTCCTGGCCACAGACCAGGAACGGGCGCATCGGGCTGCTCTGCCACCAGCCTCTTGCACGAGCCCGGGTGCTCGCTCCTGCTCTTGCGCTGCCCGTCATCCGTTACTGGTCCTGTTCAGGCTTTTCACACCATTACTCAGTTATAATATCCAACCACATAGTTTGTGGTTAAATGCAGCCCCAGGCTTTCCTGGCGCCAGGAAGTCGTTCGGGGCTGTTCCTGTTTCTCCAAGATCATGCTGCGTGACAAATCTTACCCTCTGACAAACGCAAGCATTTTCCCCCTATTCTGACATCTTCTTCATGACCAGATGACATAATGCCCTCTCTCACCTTCTTCAGATATGCTCCTAGTCATATTTACCGATTCCCCGGCTTCTAGCTGAATATAAGGCTTGCAATGCACAATGCTGGCAAAGTACCCACACATCCAATACAGCAGC